ATCAAAGATTAAGCTAATAAAAACCAACTGGCATTGTCGCCAAAGTTCAAAAAAAAAAAAAAAAAAAAAAAATTTAATATAAAACCTACTAACAGTAATACTTCTTTTTTTTTATAAACAAATTTTTTTAGATTTATATTTTCTATTTAGTTTTACAATATTACAGTAATATAGATAACAAAACTGCTTTCTAATTTCAAAATAATAGTATACTTTTAGCATTTGTTTTCTATAATATTTCTTATATACAAGTTTTGTAATTGTATAAAACTTAACATTAGTATTTATACAATCAATAACTAAATAAGAACCAAAATTTTTAGTTATCATATTAATAATCTTTTCATAATTTTTTTTTTAAAAAAAATTAGTTAATTATAAATATTACAAACAATAAAATTCTTTCTTCTTAAAAAAAATAAAACTTATTTTAGTAAAGTTTGATTAGAATAAAACTTATAAAATAAGATTTAGCCAATCAAACTTGGGCATAACAAGGCTTAAACATGATAGAATTCTACCAAAATAAACCCATTTGAATACAAAAAACTTAACTACAAAATGATAAAATTCAAATAATTGTACTTTAAAAAAATTTTATTTAAGACAAAATCCAACTATAGTACTTGATTATAGCAAAACTACTAATTATAGTAAAACTATTGCAAGATTACAGCAAACTTAGTTAGAGACTTGTTCTGAATAAAATTTGATAAGATAAACTTGATAGTTACAAGTTTTAATTACAGAATACTTTATTATTACAAAACTTTGAATTAGTAAACAACAAACTTTTTCATAATAAAATTCATATTGAAACTTAATATTAAATTTTGTAGAAATTTATAGAACTTATACTGTTCAATTATAATCTAATAATTATGATTAGCAAATTGCATATTTTTAATAAATTAAATAAAACTTCTGTTATGCTAGGAATTTAACAAGGTTTATATATCTATAAACTAAGCAGTTAAGCAACCAAGTAACTAAGTATTAAGTGACTAAGTGACTAAATGATTAAATAACTAAGTAATTACTAAGTAACTAGAAGGTTCTAATAACTAATGACTAATAATTACTAAATAACTAAATAACTAAGTGACTAAACAGCTAAGCAACTAAATAATTACTAAGCAACCAGAAAATTCTAGTAATTATTACTAATAATAATATGATAATAAAAATAACTAATACTAAATAATAATAATAAAATATAATAATTAGATTGTTATTCTCCAAGTGACAAGTCTAAGATTCAAATCTTACCTACAATAAAATTTGGAAATTATATCTGCGTTATGGTAACTGTCTCCTGTTGATTGGTTGACATCATGCAGTTGCAACCCAGGTACGCCAAGTTGGGTCCTATTAACATTAAGAGCTTGGAACATCTATGTGAAATGTAAGATTACACATACATAGAGAAATGTATAACCGGTATTGCATAAGACTTCAGTGTAAATTCATGAAAAAAGACCACTGAGTATAGAAAACTAAGGAATTTTTTTTCTGACTAATAGAAGGTGAAATCAAAACATGTGATTGATAAAGCTGATAATGCTTACTTGTGCTCAATCTACCACTCTCCGCGGGAATTATAATTGAGTTCATTTATTAATTCAGTAAAAAAGACAGTTTTTTCCGAATCATTCAATGCAAGAAAATACTTAGATCCATACATTGTTAATCATAGTGATCTCCCGTATTATGTACAGTATATAGAGATTAACTTACATATAGATTACATTAACTGACCGTTCACTAATATTAATGTCAACTATTTATTTTAATCGATATTAATCAGCTATCAATAAACAAATGCAAATAACTAAATTTTTGTAATTATGAGAAACCTGTTTGAAAAGTCCATACATGTGAATTAATTCCCAAAATGGCTTCATCAGATATTGAATTCTTGACAAAATTAATATCCATTTGTATATAATATTGTTCACCAGGCACATTAAAAGCGGAATCATATACATAAAGTGTGACGACATTGTCTCGTGTAGTTAGGGTTAGTGGTGCAAATGGTGCACCACTGCTGC